CAAGTGTACAAAAGGCTAATTGCATTGTTACTTATTGTGAAAAATTGGATCTCCTTGAGCCTAGCTTCCTTATTTCTGATGGTGATGTAGGATAAAATCTTTGAAAAAAAAAGAAACAAAGTTGGAGAGGATAGAAATGAAAATAATGATGGCTGAATTAACATGAAATTTAAAAATATAGAAACAAACACAAAGATTTAATGTAGAATGGTTATCATTAATTTATTCTATTTTTTGAATTATTTTTTGTTAAATTTATTGGAGTGACATTTGTTAGTAAAATTATATAGGTTTCAAGTGTATAGTTCTATAATATATCATCTATATATAGCATGTGTGTTCACCACCCAAGGTCAGTTCTCCTTCCATCACCATGTATTTGACCCCTTTTTCCTTCTTCTATTACCTCTTCTTCCCCATGACTCTCTGGTAACTACTAAACTGTTGTATGAATTTCTGTTTCTTTGTCTTGTTCATTTTAAGCTTTCAGTTTTATATTTCACATATGCATGAAGTCATATAGTTCTCCACTTTTTCTGTCTGGCTTGTTTCGCTTAGCATGATAATCTCAAGATCTATCCAGGTTGTTGCAAATGGAAGCATTTCATCTTATGGCTGAGTAATATTCCATTGTATATATGCACCACATTTTTTTTTACTTTAATAAGTTTGTTTTTTATTATTAGTTTCAGGTGTACAAAACAATGTAATAGTTATACATTTCACCCCCTACAAAGTGACAACCCTCCTCCCCAATCTATTGTCCCTCTGATGTCGTATATATCTATTACATTTCCATTGACTGTATTCTCTATACTATTCACCATATCCTGTGACTATATATATATATATATATTAAAATATAGTTGACATACAATATTATTCCGCTTTAGCTTCAGGTGTACAGTGCAGTGATCGAGCATCTACACCATCCATGGAGCTGTCTCCCTAAGAAGACATGTGTCCATCTGACACCCTACAAAATATTTACAACATTATTGATTATATTCCCTAAACTGTCTCATATCCCTGTGACAATATTGTAGTTACCAATTTATGCTTTCTAATCCCTTCCCCTTCTCCCTCATCCTCACTCCCTCCCATCTAGCAACCATCAGTTTTTCCTTTATATCTCTGAGGCTATTTCTGTTTAGTTTGCTCATTTATTCAGTTCTTTAGATTCCACATATAAGTGAGATCATATGGTATTTGTCTTTCTCCGACTGATGTATTTCATTTAGCATGATGTTCTCTAGGCCCATCCATATCGTTGCAAATGGTAAGATTTCATTCTTCTTTATAGCTGAGTAATATTCCATTGTATAAATATACCACAGTTTATTAACCCAGTCTTCTATCGATGGGCATTTCAGTTATTTCCAAGTCTTAGCTATTAGAAATAGGGCTGAAATAAACATAGGGGTGCATATATTTTTTCAGATTAGCATCTTGGTTTTCTCTGGATAGAACAATTATTTCAAAATCTTTGTAGGACAATTCATGTAGCTTCATTTCTTTGGGATAGTTATTGGAAGTTTATTATGTTCCTTTGGTATGGTCATGTTTCCCTGATTTTTTTTTATCCCAATAGCCTTGCCTAAATGTCTTCATATTTGAAGAAGCAATCACCTCTTCCGGGCTTTATGAACTGACTTCAGTAAGGAAAGACCTTCATCAAGCATGGAGATGTGTGTTGACAGGGTCCAAGGTGGGCACAATGTCTCATCAGCTCAGGCTGCAGGGATCCACTGCATCACCAGCTGAGCCATTCTTGGAGAGCACTGCATGAGTTCCCCATTGGCCACAAGGGCTACTGAAGGACTCAATGGTCATTGGTGCCCTTGGTCCAGCATTTAAGGACTAGGGTAAACAGCAATACTGGCCACAAGACAGTGTCATGCACATGCTCAGCTTCAAAGTCCAGCTGCATGGGCCTGTGTAGTGGCAGGGGATGGGCAGATATACAAATAGTGGTGAGGGCAGGCCAGGCGCATGGGCCTGGACCAACTGTCAGTGCCCTGGTAGCTGTTGGGGACCTGAGTCAGTCCACACTGCTGTGGCTGCTGAGTCTTCCCATGGGTGCATACATGGCACTAGAATCCAGTGGAGTGAGTTGGGCTGGAGCATGCAAGAGCATAGCTGAAAGGTGCTACATAGCTTACCTGTGCTACAGGTAAGCACAGTGGTACAGGCCAGTGACAGGAGATAGGGTCAGAGCCAGACCCAAAAGTAGCTGTAGCAGCCCTGGCTGTTGATGTGCATCCTTAGGACTGTAGCATCTCCCCCTCCCACCCAGTTCAGAGTGGATGTCAGTGATGTGAGTTAGACTGGGGGCATGCAGGTGCACAGCTAGAGAGGCTAGTTTTAGGTCAGCCTGGTAGTGCAGGCTGGTGGCTGAAAATAGGAGCCAGTTCAGGCCCATAAGTAGCTGTGGGGGCCTAGCTGTTGTCATGCACTTCTGTGGCTGCATGTCACCATGGGCATACACATAGCTGTTGAACACCGTGACAAGAGTCAGGCCAGCAAATGTGCAAGTGCAGAGATAAAGTATCTATCCCCAAGCACCTGCATGGCAGTGGGCATCAGCTGAAGGGATCTAGGCTGTCATCTTGCGCTCACACAGCTACAGAGGTCTGGGCTGGGTGCCAGTGTGGGTCCTGGGCTCTGGCAAGTATGTGGAGGCTGACATGGTGAGGGGCACGGGTGGCTAGTATCTGCCAATATGAGTACCTTTGGGTCTTCAGAGACTGTGCTAGCTGTTGGTTTCTTCACTGGGGAGAGATGGTGGGGTCTTCTCGGAGCAGGTTACTTGGAACAAAAGTCACTCTCACTGTGTGGTTGATGCTGGTAGCCCACGCTCTTCTTTCTTCTTCCAGCCATTTCTATACATCTCGGGCTTCCGGTCTGAGTAGAGTGAGGCAGAAGCATGTCATTTATGTGGTGCCTCCAAAGCCTGGGGAAGCTCTCCCTTTCCCCATGAGGAGAATACTTTCTACCTGGAGGGTTCCCACTTGGCTCTGAGCAGTGCCAGCCTTGAGATGAAATGATGCAGGCAAAATGAAGATGTTCTTCCTCCCTTTTTGTGCTGTTATGCCCAGGTTTCTTGTTCCATTGTGTAGCTTATGTTTTCTTCAGTGGATCCCTGAGCTCTCCCAGAGCTGTTTTATAGATGGATAGCTAATTGTTGACCTTTGTGGGGAATGGAGGCTGAGGTCTCCTACTTTGCCATCTTGGTGACATCACTTCAACTATCTAAAATATTCTAAATGAGCTAAAGGAAACCACGGACAAAAAACTAAAAGAAGTCAAAAGCATGATAAATGAAAAAAAATACAGAATATTGATTAAGATATAGAAATAATAAAAAAAACAACCAAATAGAAATCATACAAAGAAACCAAATAGAGGGCTGGCCAAGTGGTGCGTTGGTTAAGAGTTGGCTTGGGACACCAGCTCTGAGCAACAGGGCCCCGGTTTAGATCCCACATTACGGCCAGTGACGCTCCACCCTCTACAGCTAAAATGATGAACTGGAGCTGGGCTGCCATGAGTCGCTGGTGACAGCGTAGGCTGCAGTGGAGCGGCAGTAGGCTCCTGTAAGCTACCGTGAGCAGCNCCCATGTACTTCTTCCTCTCCAACCTGTCCTTTGTGGACATCTGTTTCACCTCCACCACCATCCCCAAGATGCTGGTGAACATCCAGACGCAGAGCAAAGTCATAACCTATGAAGGCTGCATCACCCAGATGTATTTTTTTCTACTCTTTGGAGTGTTGGATAACTTCCTCCTGACTGTGATGGCCTATGACCGCTTTGTGGCCATCTGTCACCCCCTGCACTACACGGTCATCATGCACCCCCGACTCTGTGGGCTGCTAGTTCTGGTGTCCTGGATCATGAGCGCCCTGTATTCTTTGTTACAAAGCTTAATGACGTTGCAACTATCCTTCCATACACTCTTGCACATTCCACACTTTTTCTGTGAACTCAATCAGATGGTCCAACTTGCCTGCTCTGACAACTTTCTTAACAACTTGGTGATGTATTTTGCAGCTGTGCTGCTGGCTGGTGGTCCCCTGGCTGGGATCCTTTGCTCTTATGCTAAGATAGTTTCCTCCATACGTGCAATGTCATCAGCTCAAGGGAAGCATAAAGCATTTTCTACCTGTGCATCTCACCTCTCAGTTGTCTTTTTATTTTATTGTACAATCATAGGAGTGTACCTCAGCTCTGCTGTGACCCACAGCTCACAGTCAAGTGCAATAAGCTCTGTGATGTACACTTTGGTTACGCCGATGCTAAACCCCTTCATCTACAGTCTCAGGAACAATGACATAAAAGGAGCTCTGAAAAGCCTCTTTGGGATGGCAGGAATAAAAATAACAGAGTGATCATGAATGCTGTCTTCAAACATCAAAAGACATGACAAAAGTTTAAAAAGAGGAGATTATTATCATTGTCCTCAGTTTTGTTTGCCTTGAATGTTGTATGACTTAGCTAATGCTGCATAACAAGCTGTCCTAAATACTATGTTTTCTTTAATGCATTTGTAAATGGGTTATATGATAGGAGTTGACTACTCTCTGGTCACATACTCATAAGTCTGCATCAGCTAGAAGTCTACATTATGTTTCTATAGGTCATCTATGATGTTGTGTGAGGCTGTAGTGCACCCCTGTCTTGAACCAATTTATGACAGTTAAACTTTTATTTAAAAGATGAGTTTAACAAATGTGATTTGCCTTATATTTACATCACTATTTTTATATTCATATACCCGCTTTGTTTTCTACCCAGTGATATTTCTCTCTCCCAACATTAAAGTGTGACTGAGCTACATGTGCTGTACCTTGAGCTATGCATCATTTGATTTTTCTGCACATATTTAAAGTGCACAATTTGCTGAATTAAAGAGACTTACAAAATTAAGAATACATATTGAATGAGTCCATTTATACATAATTCAAGCAAGTGTACAAAAGGCTAATTGCATTGTTACTTATTGTGAAAAATTGGATCTCCTTGAGCCTAGCTTCCTTATTTCTGATGGTGATGTAGGATAANTTGGTCTTCAGTCTAGTTGTGGAGGACATTGCTTCACTGGCCCATGTTGGTATTATCATTGCGCTCTTCCCGGGTGAGGTAGATCGGTCGCCGGCCACTGGACAGCTGCTCACAGCGGCTCTTGGCAGCTCACACCAGCTGCCAGACGCTCACGCTGGCTGCTGGCCACACATGGTAGCTTATGGCAGCCCACTGCAGCAGGGGCTGCAGCCTACGCCGTTGCCGGTGACTCACGGCAACCCAGCTCCAGGTCGAGCTGCTGCTCACCATCTTAGCTGTAGAGGGCAGTGTCACTGGCCCTCATGTGGGATCTGAACCGGGACCCTGCTGCTCAGAGTGGGTGTCCCAAGCCAGCTCTTAACCAATGTACCACTCGCCTGGCCCCCTCCATTACTTTTTAAATGTAAAAAGTTCTCCTGCATCCTTAGTAGTAATAATCTCCTTTCATACATATTGTGTTTTTATTTCATGTTTGTCTTTATTGCCAACTTTATGCTTTTTGAGGTTAGATGTGTTTTTTAAAATAGCAATCACCTTCTCCCACCAACACAGCAATACACACACATGAAAACACTCACACAAACACACACACACACACACACACACACCTAACAAAGAGAACCATGAAACGATTTTGTATGTATCCTCACTGTTTATAATACATTCTAATATTTTTTTCTGCCTTATTGATTCTATTCTACTTAAATCTCACAAACCATAGCCTGACAACCTAATGAGTCCTGACTTCAGATCATGCAAAACATTCCTTTAGTGTGTCCTCGATACCTAGCTTACTATTTCCTCCTTTTCTTCTTTCTCATCATTGGCAATTTCTGTGCAAACATGTTCTCTCATTCTGTCATAGAATACATATTTATTCAGCTACTGTTCCCAACTAAGCTAACTCTCGTGAGAGGGGTGGTAATATGTATAACATTCTACATGTCTCACTCTCTAGCAGTGAAAAAAAGACATGGAATTAAGCAAAAATTACACCATGGGCACCCTAACACCTAAATTAAGTGCTTGAGAATGTGCATTATCACAGGAAAACTGAGATAATGTTAAGGAAAAATGAGGCTCATGAAGGAGAGGATCCAGCCATTTTGAAAAGAAGAGGGAGTTTGGAGGATGGAGAAGGGGGTGGAAAATTCCAGAAAGACCAGTGGGGAGACTGCAAGCAAAGAATAGCGGTGTGCACAGGCTCTGAGCCTTGAAGCTGTAGTATCAGGTGAAAGTGGGGGTCAAGTTCAATGTTTGGGAGATCAGTGTGAGCGAGAGCAGGGCCCTGTGAGGGTGAAGCTGGCAGCAAGTTCACAGAGACTTGAGCCTCCTGTGTGAAGCTACAGAATTTTGGCTTCTATCCCCATTGGAGAGTCACTAGGGGGATAAAAATCAGGGAGTTCCATGATCAGCTTTGTAATGTACTGAGATCTCCATGAGTCAATGTGAATATTCGGCTAAAGGGGTTCCAGCCTGTGCTAGATGGGAGATGACAAGGAACTGAAATGAGGCTGTGGAATTGGCCCCAAGAGATGGGGAAGCATTGGAGGCATTTGAGAGGTAGAAGAAAATAATCAACCTCATCTCATCTCCAGGGAGAGCCATTCATTTTCCAACAGGAAGCATTTCACATACATTGTTCAAATCTGTCACCACTCTGATGGACATCACTGTCTGCACTATTTGGGTGAGGATATCAGCATTTAGAATGGTCCGGTTGTCTCTCCTGGTTCAAAATGTTAAGAGGGGATAGATTCAGAATAAAAACCCAGCTTTCTGTTTCCAAAAATTTTTCACTTATTGTCATTTACAAAAGTCTCTTCCCATTGCAGCTTTAAAAACCCTTGTTTTTCATGAACATTGTATATTTCTTGTGCATTGTTGATTTATTCTCATCACATTTTCTACTGGGATGTTCATTCTGCAAGGTGTTTTCACACCATAATGATATTGTTCTTTTCTCTTTCAAATAAATTGGTTTTGCTACTTTATTAGTTATTCTGGGTCTCAAGAGAACATAACTGTGGTTGGCATGTCAAGGATGCTTTTTCTCATCATAATCACCCAGGGACCATCCCACCTGATAGCTCTCTCTCTCTCTCTCTCTCTCTCTCTCTCTCTCTCTCTCTCTCTCTC